TATAGCTGCAGCTACAAATTAGTATTATCAAACTAAATCTTTATTGCATTTGATAAGAAATTGATATTCGAAAACCTAGTTGGAAAAGTTATTAAATATATTTTATATAATTTTTGAATTAAAGAACAAAAAACCTATAGCTGCAGCTACAAATTAGTATTATCAAACTAAATCTTTATTGCATTTGATAAGAAATTGATATTCGAAAACCTAGTTGGAAAAGTTATTAAGTAGGCCAAATATAAGGTAAGTTATAAGAAAACTTTTTTTTTTCAAATTAGGTGGGAAAAACATTTTATGGGTTGAGAATTGTATTAGAAAAAATAAATACTCAAAATATTACTTTTATCTTTTTTTTATTGTAATATTAATGTGTGAAAATACGTAAATATTAGTTATATTATCCATGTTAAATTTAATACTAATTAGATATATTTAATTATTTTTGAATAACATTGAATTTAAGACCATTTAATAAATAGTATAAAAATATAGTTTTTTTTATAAGATTAAAAAAAAATCATATATAACTAATGTAAAAATTTATATAAGTTTATCTCAATATAAATATATCTTGGCTATTTTCTATATATGTTCTAACCTAAAAGAAATTATCATATCCCTATAAGAATTACTCACAAAGAGAAATGATCCCTTTACCTAGGTCTTAAATATTTTCTTTATATTTGAATGGCCTCCCTATAATTCAAACATTCAAAAAAAAAAAATTGTAAAAAATAAATATTAATGTAACGTATTTAACATTTTTTAAAAGTTTGAGAAGCTGCCCTAGTCCTACAATAGCTCTGTCCTTGTTCTCAACATCATTTTTTTATAAAAACGAAAAAATTAATGACGCTAACAAGATTTAACAAAATTTTATTTAAAAAATTATACATCTTTTATACAATATTTTTAAATTTTTTATACAATACCCTTCCAATCAATTTTTCAATAAAAACTTTCCTAAAAATTTATCCTAATACCAAACAAACCTTAAGTGAAGTAATGGCCCCTTTGAGGGAGGTGTCAACTATCAAGACAATGCAATCCTGGGTTGCACTAGCCTATTGAAAACGAAGTCCAACTTTTTGGTAGTTTAAATTATGAAAAAGAGACTTTTGGACGGAAAAGGAGGTCTCCACAGTCAAGCGTCCTCCTAATCAAGCGTTAGTTCTCGATTATACAAAATATTTTTTTTCGTAAAAAATGTGTTCTTGGTATGAACTCCGTGGCTGAGCTAAGAGGTCTGTGTCTTAAGCCCGCTAAACTTTTAAGAATTTGTTAATTTAGTCCAATAATTATTATTTTAATTTTTAATTTTTAATTAAGTTTATACCATTTTAGTTCATTTCTTAAATAATGTTTGATTTTGCCCCAACTTTTTTTTTTTTTTTTAATAAACTTCACTCTGTCCTAACGGATAAACATTATCCTTGATTAACTTTTTAACCAGAACTGTTTTCTTAATATTAATTATCTAGGAGAATGAGTTCCACGTGTGTTGTGATTTGGCAGTCACTTGTTATTTTAAAGGATAATTTGTGATTTATACTTTTATGTTTTGGATTGAATATTTTCTATTAATGCTTTTAATATATTAATTTTTAATTATTGTTCTTATAAAAATAAAATTACCTAGGAGAATATAACAAAGTAGAGAGAAAAATAAAGGGGAAAAACAGTAAAGGAGAGAAAATGAGAAGTTGAGAACAATTCAATGATATTACCACATGTCTTCTGCAGTGCCGTGTCGGTGGAGGCTCTTGCTACTTTTTTCCATGGTATCCAACTGGCTAAGGACATGGGTTGTCTGGATGCGCGGGTAGAAGCAAGAGATCGTCCATCATTACTAAATCCACATTAGCTGGTCCTACTATCATGATGTTTGCAGGGGCTGCATTGGAGCTAAACCATGTCTTCGGAGAGAATGCAATGAGGTGGCCATGAGCTGGAGCGCAGTGCAGTCCATTTGCACGGACCCTGCCGTTTGGTGGAAACATTTAAAAAAGAGCAAAGTTGTCATAATTGAACTTAGACCCTAGCATGTTTTTTTTTTTTTTATAACAAATTTATAAGTGGTTGGACTCGAATAATTGTTTGGAGAAAGGAGGTACAATAAAATATGACTTGAGATTACTGCACCAAAGATTCAAGTATTAGGTCC